CACACAATACAATCCTTTAAAAAAACCCCTTTACCCTTTACCCTTTACGTTTTTCATTCTAAACAGAAACACACAGAACACATCATACCTCGCATTATTACATTTACATTTAGACATGTACATCTACAAACCCAATCTCAAAATAATCATTAATAATACCAATACCTATCTATCGCCGCACTAAAGATTCCACACAGCATTATCTCGCTAGTATCGACTTACATTGATGATTGCAGATTAGAAGTGTATGTGAGCATACGGGCATATGAGCACATTCAAAACATAAACTCCACGCATACTAGAAGATAGTGGTAGCACATAGAGTTGTTGCGAAAGGGTCGATAGAGTAATTATGATAGGATAGATAGGATGAATAGCCGTTAGAAGACAACGTCAAGTTGCCAAAAAGTTAGAATGATCTGATGGCAGGCTGATCATTACAAATAGGAATGAATGAATGAGCCTAGGAATTTCATGAAATGTTTATTTACTATTTAGGGACTTTTGAAGGGTAGCTCAAAAGTATGATGTATATCACGGAGGGCGATTTAGTTATGGCACTGTACAAGGCAATCAGAAAAAAAAACAGAACAGATTCAAGTTAATCTAACGAGAAAAAGGATATGTGGATTGAATTATCGGCAGAACTGATCATGAGGAATTCATTGCATCATTATATTATTAGTGTTCACACTAGCTAAATCTCCGGTGGCCTTACTAATCAACCTCAAGCATCCCAAGCTTCCACTTCTTTTTCCCAATCATCCACTGCATCCTGCTCTTCTTTCTTCTTTTTCGCTGCCGTCCTATTGCCCAAAACTGTGAAGCTGCTTTTAACACCTATGTCGGGCCTTACCGGAGCTTTGCTGTTACTACCTCCTTTGGCAACCTGACTCCACCCTCCACCTAAATGATCATCCTTCCTTCTGATTACATTTAAACTCGAATCTACACTGCAGAGAACAACCGTGGATGCTAATTCAAGAGCTTTAACTTTTTTGCGAAGGCCGTGCTGCATGGCATTTAATGCCGATTCGACTTTAGTCTGCCAATTCTCAGAGGGTTTTCCACGAAGGACAACCTCACTGGAGGGTAGGAAAGATACCTCAAAGTCGAGACCCGCGTTGGCAAATTCAGATGAAAGGTCGGCGTGGATCTCATCAATAGTTAGACCAAACCTAGGGTTCAACAGTAAGATGGCATTGAACGGCTCAGCTGTAGCAACTAATCCTTTCGAAGAAGGCGCAGCTTCTGCAACCGATACTGGCTTTACTTTGACACATTGCGCCAAAGTCTTTAATGGTGCTGAGACAAAGCGTGGCGTCTTGAATATTGAAACGTGGCGATGTGGCTCTGGATCCTGACTTTCACTATCAAGACCATAGTCTTCCGCCAATGAGTGTATAAAAGCTCTTTGATGAGGTTGCATCGGCTTGAACCTCAATCTTTTCTCCGACGGATCCGCCGCGAAAACACGGAACTCGCGTTCGTAGGCTTGACAAAATTTGAGCATGTCCTTGACCATATCTAAGGTCTGTTGTGAGTATGGAATGTGATCGTCCATGTGTGTAGTTGGGTCAATATTCAAAGCTGCGGCGAGTTTTGCATTGCGTTGAAGCTTGAGACACTCGTCATTACAATCCAGTGTCTTCTTCGAGTTACCCTCGCTGGTTTTTGAGGCAAGGCACTTGACCGCTTGCTTCTGATGTGACATTCGCATGTGATAAACGTCTTGCCTTGGCCAAGGTAAAGTTTCCTTACAGGTAGTGCATGACAAGCGTCAGTACAGAGTGTCGCAACGGTTTTCTGGCTTCCGCATGCTTGACGA